TAGGTGGTCCGTGTTGGACCCAAATCTTAACGAATTATCACTCTTTGGGTCCATAAATCCCCCTTAAACCCTATTCCTGTCTCATCTCACCTTCTCTTCTCCTTGCAGGCCAAAACCCTCAGACGAAGAAACTTCTAGACACTTACTCTGAGATGGCGAGACGTTTGATTCCGGCGTTCAATCGCGTATTGGTTGAGAAAATCCTTCCTCCCTCTAAAACTAATTCCGGCATCCTGCTTCCTGACAAGACCCCCAAGGTTAATTTCGTTTTCTTCCATTGTCCTTTTTAATTAACTTGGAGCCTTCATTTTCATTTCATTTTCATTTTCATTTTCTTCAGATATGCAAATGAGTGGGTTTGCTCTAATTTAACTGTTCCTATGAATTATTTCTGCTTTCCGAATTGTTCTGTTAGAATCCCTGAATATCAGTTTTTTTCCCCCTGATCTTAATACTTAATATATGCAAAAAAATCAAGAATAATTATAAGCCCTAAATTAATTACATTTCCTGAATAAATGATAACTACAAGCCTTATTAAACTGAATAAATGATATCTATCATGGGTTTTATTTTATTTACAAGAAGATGATAAAAAGTTGTTACCTTTTTAATTGATTTTCAGCTGAACTCTGGGAAAGTTGTGGCAGTTGGTCCTGGAGCTCGTGACAGGGACGGGAAACTTATTCCTGTTAGTGTGAAGGAAGGAGACACTGTTCTTTTGCCTGAGTATGGAGGCACAGAAGTGAAGCTTGGTGAAAAAGAGTGAGTTTTATTTTCCATTTTGAAATATGTCATCTTGTTAGTTTGGATTTTCAGCAATGCAATATGTCCTAGTTTTTCTATTATGTTATCCATGCTGAGGGTGCTATCTCTTGGTAATATTCTCTTTCCAAGGGCCTCATAAATATTTCCATCACATGGCTTTCTGTTAGTCTATATAATTTTGGCTGAACCAAGTTTTAGGTTTGAAATTAAGCAACGTCTCCCGGAAGGGCTGTCATCATTGGTGTATAAGGAAGTATTCAATCCTCTTTAGGTTTCTAATTAAGTCAGTCCTCCTGTGACGACTTTTTAGTTCCATTGACATGGCGTGCCTGAACTGGTAGGCATTCTTAATGCAGTTGGTTGTTGCCTATTTAATTTAGTTTGATCAAATACTTTTTGCTGGAGGATAGCCATCCTATAAAGGCATATATGTTTAGGTAATTAGGTTAGATACTCTATAGGAAGATGATAAACCTTTTCCTCTTTGTTATAACAAATCACCTTATTTCTCGAGTAAGCATGTTCTGGTTTTTGGCTGTTGCAGGTATCTCCTGTACAGGGATGAAGATATCCTGGGAACGCTTCATGACTAACATGAGATAGTGCTCACGAATTCAGAATCTTGGCTCAGTAGCACAGAGAAGTTTTAGTTGGTCTTTTCTTGATTGTGCAAGTACTCTATTTTGCATTAAGACAGTCATTGATATTGACCCTAATGGTTACTGGGAACATGTCAGAAACTTCAAAAACCTATTATTCATAAAGGACTATTTTGCTAAAGTTCTTTGTTTTGTTTTCAGTTATTGTTTTATTTAGAGTTTCTAAAGCTTTGGAGTTTTCATCAAATTAAAGTTAAATCTTTTAGAGTGGTTTTTAAGCAAACTCAGTCTCTTGCTCTCTTCACAACCCTTTTCTCTTCTAGCATCCGCTGATTTGCCGAGAGCGTATGATTTATGGTTTTAACAGAATTGATGATGAAGCAATCAGGAAGGCTTTTACTTAATCGGTTGTGTCTTCAGATGGAACCAGCCATATTTTCTTCTTTGTACCAAAATGAAGCGTCCCTGTCAAAAGGACTCAAGCCTGAATCTCTTGTTTTCTGCTGTAATAATGACTCTTCGACAACTGCCAAGAGTGCATCTCTTTGCCCTAACAACAAGGCTAGCAAGGAAACTCCATGTGCAACCACGCCCACACCAACTGGTAAGGTATGATAGCAATGCTACTGGAGACCTCACTGCCAGTTGCCACAACCCACAACAAGACTTTTCAGGTTTACTTTAGTCATATCACTAGAAAAAGCAGAGGAGACACTTGATGATAGGAAATGCTGTAGCTTTTGTTTAGCTAAGAGAAATTATCAACAGAACAGAATATTTGAAAATGCAGAGATTCCAAAACACAGCAATACTTCTCAATCTTCTTGAGTAATAGGAAGAAAAGAAAATGAAGGAGAATAGAGACGTATGGTACTACAGAAAAGCAGAGGAAACACCCACATGGGCAACCAAAAACTTGATTACCTACATGTCACTCAGTTTTCCCTGCTCGTCCCAGTCTCTGTCTGTGCCCACCAAAAGTAATGTAATAATAACAAAATTTGATTCCCCCCCAAGTAGATGACAATCTAAACCAAAAACTTCCCATTTTCCCGTTTCTTCACTTGGGAAAAAGTGCAAAGGTTGATTTTGGTAGAGGAGCAAGAAGAATCACACATTCTTCAGATGATCGACAAAGGGGACAAGAGTAAATTGTAAAGCAAGGGCTGATAAAAAAAAAAAAAAAATTGTAAAGCAAGAAATCTCAAGTTCTCATCAAACCAGTTCTAGGCCGACAAGAATTTCTTACTCCCATCAATTCCATTATCGTCAAAAAAAAAAAAAAAAAAAAAAAAAAAAAAAAAAAAAAACAGTAACGAGTGTACAATTAACATTATAGGTGGACTATTCTCTAACACGTGGTGATGAAGCAAGGAACTTTTTTGCAACATCAAAGCTCAATCCCTCATACACCTGAAAAGAATTGAAACATAGCAATTTTCATTTCTATCAATATCAGAAATGGGGAATTAGTAGGAAGTGTCAAAAATTCTCTTTTGCATACCAGATTCTTGTGAACTTGTTGAAAAGACTTGCAAAACCTATCAGCTTCTGCTGCACCAACCTATATGATAGTAAAGGCAAGGAATATTAGTTAACAGAGTCCATTGAAAGCTATGCATCGCAAACCAACTAGCAAGTAAATAAAATTCATGGCAATGCTTTCCATTCTAATTTGAAGAATAAATCTGAGGGCAGAGTCAGCTGACCAAAAAATAAAATTTTATTTGAAAATGCTCATTAAACACCGAATCCTTGCAAATTGTTAGTTTTTCCAGAAGTGTAACCACCTGACGACAAAATAAGTTTTTATTCTACATGCACATTTTTGTTCCTTAAGACCTAGAGCAAAAATTAGTGGAAGTAATATGTTAGCTAATAAATTCTGCAGCACAAATGATTATGCAGACTTGGTATTTGAAGATTTGCTTACATACTTTTGCTTTTCATTTCACTTCTTGGAAGATAATTTCGTACATGTTATTTAGTTTCCCGAAGTAGAAAGCAGGTCTACATAATCTATTCAAGTTTCAAATCCAATGATTCAATATCTACTATAATATTCCATGTTGAGTCATAACCTATTTCCAAAAAAGTTCATCTGTGATCTTCCATGGTTCTTTCTTTGTTAAACTTGGGACCATCAAGACACATGTTCAACCTTTTGAACTATATTCTTATGAATCATATTAAAGAAGACAAATCAAGAATAATGCTATTTTCACACCTTTGGCAAACGATGCCATGTGCTTGTGCAACTTTTATGCCCAGAAGTATGTGGTACTGGTTAGAATGTTCTCAACTCATAAGTTATTTGAAGTTAGTAAATCATTAAACATACCTTCCTCTCAGCTGCCACTCTTAGCTTCTCCCAGAATGCATCTGTCAAAACCAATACGGGAAAAAGGACAATAAATAAAACTTTATGGTAATGACAAGCACAAAAAGAAGGGATTCATTCCCCTATTGGCCATAAAATGGATCAAAGGATGACAAATAAGAATTCCATCCAAAGCCACCATTTTTAACAGAAAACATGCCTGGAACCACCATTTTTATCTGATGTTCTTATTAGTATGAGTGCACACTTTACTAAATAGAGAAATTTCTTATCAGGGCACATTCATGTGTGATAGATACCATGCAGATCAATATCTTGATTGTCCATTTCCTTTCTCTCTCCGTCATTCCAAGCATCTTGCCAATCCCTAATCTGTTGTGCAAATGTCAGAATGTTACAAACTAGTTATTAATAGATAGAATTCAAAAGTATATTGCAAATTTAAGTCAAAAAAAGGAAAAAAAAAAATAGTCCAGTTTCAATTTCAGTATATACTGCCTTATTCTGTGTTGACTGAGATGTTGACTGTCTGGATGAATCTGACTCGGCCTGAAATAATAAAAAGGTTATTTCACAACAACAACCACACTGATAACAGCCAAATCTTAAAACTATTCAGAAGTGCGAGCGAATCACAATATAGCCACTACATTTGAAAGCAGTCCACAACAATTTTACATGAAGTGGCTGCTCCTAGCAATCAAACCCTAAATTCAATTTTTTTGATAGGACACAACAAGCAGTTCAACCCATGAGGTAAAGGGATGGGGAGGAGGGTTACACAAGTTCAAACTCTCACCAACAGGTGAGGAGGCCTTTTACATTAGAGATTTGGCCAGTGGGCGTGAAGGCCTTCCTCATCAAACCCTAAATTCTATTTGCAGTGAAAATTCACCAATAAATTAGCAGACAGCCTCCATGAATCAGTTCAAAACGAGTATAGACTAATCACGTTTAACAACTGAGACACAGAAGTTGAGCTCAAATCATCATAAAATCCTAGAGCCATCCCTCATAAAGTAATACAGAAAATGCAGAGCCTAGGTATCTAATTACGAAATAAAAACAGGTGATAAACATAGAAAGCAATAAATCACTATACATAATAAAAACCAGAATAAAATAAGCCCTAGAATTGCACAGAATGGATCCTCCAACCAAACACATAAACTATACATTAGATTTGCATATTCACTGCAA